GCTGTAAGCTGTCAGATGTTTTGTCTCCATTATCTTATATAAAAAAAATAGATACAGAGGTTCTAAGCTTAAAGGGCTTTAGACTCTGCATGGAATCACAACGGGGTAAACTTAACTCATCCCAGTATCAGACAGGAAGTACCGGAAATCATTTTCACCTTGTATTCACCTCTTACTGGGCTCATAATTGCAGCAGATAGGTGTGCTCAGAGTCTGCAGTCCATTACCATACACCCGTGGACAATGATTAATGGTCTGTTGAGAATGAACAGTGAGTGGATGCTCTCATGCGGAGTCCAGAACCTTGTATAGGTGCTGGTCATAAAATTAGAATATCATGAAAAAGTAGATTGATTTCAGTAATTCCATTTAAAAAGTGAAACTTGTATATTATATTCATACATTACATACAAACTCATATATTTCAGATGTTTATTTTGTTTAATTTTGATGATTACAAATGACAACAAATGAAAATCTCAAATTCATCATATCAGAAAATTAGAATATTGTGAAAAGGTTCAAAATTGATGGCCCCTGGTGCCACACTCTAATCAGCTAATTAACTCAAACCACCTGCAAAAGCCTTTAAATGGTCTTTCAGTCTAGTTCTATAGGCTACACAATCATGGGGAAGACTGCTGACTTGACAGTTGTCCAAAAGACGACCATCGACACCTTGCACAAGGAGGGCAAGACACAAAAGGTCATCGCTAAAGAGGCTGGCTGTTCACAGAGCTCAGTGTCCAAGCACATTAATAGAGAGGCGAAGGGAAGGAAAAGATGTGGTCGAAAAAAGTGTACAAGCAAGAGAGATAACCGCACCCTGGAGAGGATTGTGAAACAAAACCCATTCAAAAATGTGGGGGAGATTCACAAAGAGTGGACTGCAGCTGGAGTGAGTGCTTCAAGAACCACCACACACAAACGTATGAAAGACATGGGTTTCTGCTGTCGCATTCCTTGTGTCAAGCCACTCTTGAACCACAGACAGCGTCAGAAGCGTCTTGCCTGGGCTAAAGAGAAACAGGACTGGACTGCTGGTGAGTGGTCCAAAGTCATGTTCTCTGATGAAAGTAAATTTTGCATTTCCTTTGGAAATCATGGTCCCAGAGTCTGGAGGAAAAGAAGAGAGGCACTTCATCCACGTTGCTTGAAGTCCAGTGTAAAGTTTCCACAGTCAGTGATGGTTTGGGGTGCCATGTCATCTGCTGGTGTTGGTCCATTGTGTTTTCTGAGGTCCAGGGTCAACGCAGCCACATACCAGGAAGTTTTAGAGCACTTCATGCTTCCTGCAGCTGACCAACTTTTTGGAGATGCAGATTTCATTTTCCAACAGGACTTGGCACCTGCACACAGTGCCAAAGCTACCAGTACCTGGTTGAAGGACCATGGTATCCCTGTTCTTAATTGGCCAGCAAACTCTCCTGACCTTAACCCCATAGAAAATCTATGGGGTATTGTGAAGAAGAAGATGCAATACACCAGACCCAACAATTCAGAAGAGCTAAAAGCCACTATTAGAGCAACCTGGGCTATCATAACACCTGAGCAGTGCCACAGACTGATCGACTCCATGCCACGCCGCATTGCTGCAGTAATACAGGCCAAAGGAGGCCCAACTAAATACTGAGTGCTGTACATGCTCATACTTTTCATGTTCATACTTTTCAGTTGGCCAACATTTCTATAAATCCTTTGTTTTTATTGGTCTTCAGTAATATTCTAATTTTCTGATATGATGAATTTGAGATTTTCATTTGTTGTCATTTGTAATCATCAAAATTAAACAAAATAAACATCTGAAATATATGAGTTTGTATGTAATGTATGAATATAATATACAAGTTTCACTTTTTAAATGGAATTACTGAAATCAATCTACTTTTTCATGATATTCTAATTTTATGACCAGCACCTGTATATGCCACTAAATATCTGAGCACATTCCCAAGATCATGTCCTGGCTCAAAGTTTGTCCCCAACTTTTAACTTTTTAAATGCATTTAGAAATGCTTGACTTTGAATTTTGAATGCTAATAAGACTTACATTACATGTATTGTCAGTCTGTAGTCTAAACTGTAAGTTAACTGTCAAACTTTATGTATTGAAGGGCTAATGATTAGTATAACATGCAATCTCTTTGCAGCTGTTTGAGTTAAGTAAATTTTTCCTTTATTAATTCATTTCAATTCAGTTCATTTATATAGTGCCAATTCACAACACGTCATCTCAAGGCACTTTATGATGACAATTTAACCAGATCATACATTCAAATTTGTTAAAAGTTTTAAATCTAAGGAAAACCAGTTGATTCAAAGATTTTTTTAAAGTCAAAAACCACACAAAATATAAAATGTCATCACCTTTTTGTGGAAGTGATAGACTTTGTTAAAGATCATTGTGAGTTGCTAAGAACATCCATAAAATAAAATAAATGGCAAAATATATAAATATATATATATATATATATATATATATATATGTATATGTGTGTATATATATATATATAGATATATATATATATGCTCACATTTTAACGAAAGCCCCAAGTCTAATCCTTCCAAAACTGATTCCAATGCTGAGTCAAATGAGAACTGTTCAATAGTAGTTGCCATCTTCCTTGTTATGCTTTCTCCAGCGTTGCACAGCTTTGTTGTCACGCCCTCAAAACCCCGCCCGCTTTGCATCCAGACATTCAAAACACATGTCTGCGTTGTGATTAGCCCGCCAGTTCTAGGGCCTGGGGCATTGATCGAGGCTAGACCACTCGCAAGTAAAAATGATGAATTGGCGGGTAGTTTAATACTAACCACTGCACCACTAAGCTATATATATATATATATATATATATATATATATATATATATATATATATATATGAGTGTTTGTGTGCGTGCGGGGGCGTGTGTATGTATATAGCATCATCGTGCTCATTGATAACTGGCTATAATTCCTGTTCAAGGAGCAATGTCTAAAGCTGCACAAGACTCAGTAAGGCATGACCTGTGCATTTTGCTCGTTTAAGCTCATTATTCTCAAATTTATGACACGTTAGGCTTTTCTAGACTCTTCAGGGCCAAATAAATCTCTGTGGTGGGCCTAATTTTGCCAGTGGGCCTTGAGTTTGATATATTTGGTCTATGGTCTTATGTCAGATCTATGCGGTTACAATCTAGATTCACACACTACTTACAGTACCCTGTTTTGCACACAGGTATATGAGGCATGGCTTTAAGTTCCAAGGAGAGAAGGAGTGGGAGCTAAATCAGTTTGATATGAATGTCATGATCTGGCCTGTTTGCTCTCCCCTAATTAGTAATTTCTATCACCTGCCCTCTTCCTTCCCTGCCTCAATCATAATTTATTCCCCTCACCTGTTTCCTCTGGTTTATATTCAGTTCAGCCTGAGCATTCGGGGCCAGATCATTGCTTGTCTTTTGTTAGTCTGTCTGTTAATTTTGCTTTGATGGTTCATGTCCTGGATCCTAGCTGCCAGTGGAAAGAGGGCTTTAGTGTTTGTCTCGTCTCCTGATCGTCCACTGTTCCTCCCCTGTGGAGTCCTCTGGGTTTTTGGCTCATTATGGGGGGAGGTTCAGTTTTTATCTAAGTAAGCCTGGCTCCAGGGTGGAGACCAGTTTAAAGTACTGCTTCAAGTTCCGGTTCCTACGTCCTGTCTCGGCTACCCTCTTCCACTGTGCCTGCCTGTCTGCACCTGATCCTGTCTGCTCCTGTGCGTGACCAACTGGTAATGCTTCTGGTCCCAGTAAGACTCTGAACCCTCCTGGAAGCCTGTGGATGCATGGAAGTCTGGATCCTGCCACCTGTCTCTGTTCCTGTCTGATCTGGATCCTGCCTGTTCCTGCCTGTTCCTGCCTGATCCTGTCTGTTCCTGTCTGTTCTGGATCCCTCACCAGGATCAGCTTCCACCATCACCTCTGGGACTGCAGCACTGGGGACACTCATGGTCTGGACTGTTAAACCAGGTAAGTGACCAACACAGTTAATCTTCTGTCAGATGATCGTGGTCACTTACCTGTGTTTCTCCCCCCAGAGTGTCTGAGATTGGACGGTGCCCCGCCCCCCCGCCTGCAGTGTCCGCGAGCCACAGCTCCGCTTTCGTTTGTTTTTATTTTAATAAATCTTTTGAACTTTCCTACTGACTGTCTCTCCTGAATACTGGGTCCATCTGTCCGCGTTTCATGACAATGAAATCTCCTCTCCCATCACTTAGTTACAAACCACAGATTTAAGAATGTTGAAAAACAAAGACAATGTGTCTGGCATGTACTTCAATGCAAGTGTGTATAATGGGGTAATCTAAAAGTATATGTAATGTAGTCACCACCTTTCATGTAATAAAGCTGTAGTGAACTAGACCATAACCAATGCTAATAGCACCGTTACGAGAAAAAAAAACAAAAAAAAACTTTGAACATGTTGGGCGGTTGAGAGATCAAAAGCTTGTCATGGTCAAAGCTTTCATACAGGATTATTTCATCAAGGCCTTTAGTTTCTGTGTTATCATATGGCATTGTCTCATTGTTCTCTTTGTGTCTTCTCTTAGTTTGTCCTGCTTTCTGCTCTGCCCTCATGCTTGGGCTCTGCTACTGATCGCCAGTCACCTGATGCACATTTGTCACCACCTGTTCAGGATGTATTCAGGCCTGACTCCTTTGCTCTCTGCATTACCATTGTGTGTTTATAATGTCTTTTGTTCTTGCTTGATCCTCTGTAGGCTTACAAGGCCCTGCTCCTCATTTTAGTTTAATGTTTGTGATGAATAAAAGACTTTAGACTACGAGCCCACGTCCAAACCTTTGAATTCTCCCTTTGGGTTCTTTTTTTCACACATCATAAAAGAAACCTGCTTTTTATATTTGGATTAAATATGCAACTTGAACTTCTTTCTATGAAAAAAAATACATCTAATTGAAGAGTAAATGATCACTTAAAACCTTTTTTTTCCCAAGTAAAAAGTGAAACATATTTAACTTACGGATGGGGCTGGTTTCCCTCCTTTTGCAGTGCAGACAAGGGTGAAATTCTGGGCTTGGTATCGACTGAAGGGGGCTGGAGTGTTCTCTGCCAGCACGGATATGTTGTTTGGAGGTGCTGTGGAGGAGAGAGCAACCTTTGTAAAATTGTAAAACAACCACTTAATATGGTATGTCTCAGTCATAAAAAGAAATACCAGGAAAAAAAAAAACATTTCAATGACATTGCACTAGGGACTAAGGGACGAAAAAGAACCATGAAGGTCATACATCTCCCAATCCACCACTGTTATCAGCTTGTAAACAGCTGGAGTAGGAGAGCAGACGAAAATATTTATTGCAACCGGTGACACAGCAGTAGCAGTTAATGATCAGGTAGAAAATAATAATTTAGACCACTAACATTTAAAGGAGTATGAGATAAAGCTTCAGTGAGTTCAGTTATCAGCAGGTTTACATCCTCGTCTGCAATATCATTTAACTTGAAATTTGGCTGTGAGATTTTCTTTCATGCCAAAGGCCCAAGCTATGATACGTCGGACATCTGATCAACCTACTGTACCTTCAGGAAGTTATGAGGTGAGAGAAGGGTGTCTTTTGACGTAACTATTTATGAATCCAGGTGTCACACTTAAAAGCAGAGGTGCTGACAAAAGAAGGTCATACTGGGAGTGGTGCCTTTTTAATGTGTCAGTTTTATGAGTAAATCTATCAAACACTTTTAAACAGACAAGCCACAGCAATTAATTGATTTAAAGAAGGAGGGGGTTGGCAAGGCGATTTAGCTGCTGGCCTGGTTGCCTCATGTGTTTCCACATCTCTTAATTGCTTATTGATAGAATTCATATGGTTATAAATTAACCTTAGAGCACTCCATTAGCTTATTGACAAGCCTGTTTCATCCTGGCATATGATAAGCTGTCAGAGGTCTTTGTCGGAATAGTCATACTAAAGGATTCAACACTGAAGGATCATATATTGTAGTTAATCTGAAGTTAGGCCAATACATACAATGCATTATTAAATGATAAATAATTTTAAAGAATATCGATCTGTCTGTTCTATTAAGTCATGTTTTTTATTGTTTGATATTTCAGCAAACGTAAATGCAAACCTGACCTGAGTTTAACACCTATAGATATAAAGCATAAGGGTTTTGTGAAGATATATTGTTTTTTTTAGACTAAAACAATACCTTTTTTGGGCTTTAATTAAAATAGATTCTATTTGAGTTCTATTAAAATCTGCTGTCTAATCTTAAATGATAAATTTTGATATTGATGAATAACTACACTCTGGTCAAGCTAGTTAGGGAAAGCGGCACATTGATTAGGATGCTGTGTAGTTTTCTGCCCATGGGAGGGAGGACCTAATGGGAAACTAAGCCTGAGACAGCAGTAAGCCCTGGTATAACATTTGACATGATTAATTCTGAGGCCTACTGTGTGCAGAATACTATTTGCAAACACAACAGGATGGTACAGGATTAAGATGGTTGTCTGCCACGATGAACTCTAAGCTTTTCATACTTCATTAGACGGCAGATCTACCATCTCCGCTTGTTAGAGGTTCAGCTTCGTTTACGATGATAGGGTTCTTGGATTTACTGAGATTGTCACACTGTAATGCTAATTTGAAAACGACACATAAATATTTCAATTTTTCAATTAAGAGGCATACAGTTTGATACAATAACTTAAGCTGACTCAGTTTAGAGACTGGAGGAAAAAAAATTCAAAGTGAAAAAAAGATAAATGTTTTTGTAGGTATGGGCGGCTGACAAAAAGAGGAACAGTCGTTAAACCACAATAAATTTCTATTTATATTGGTCAGCTCATCTTTCAGCTTTATTTAGTCTCGCAACTACTCTGTTTTTCTTTATTTGTCTTATCTTTTTAATAATTATTACTGTCTAGTCTCTCTACTTTGAAAGGGAATAATTTGACTTAGTTCTTTGTCATGCAATGTTGTGCAGTGTCTCTGTATTGCACTCTTTATTTAATTATATATATATATATATATATATATATATATATATATATATATATATATATATATATATATATATATATATATATATATATATATATATATATTTTATGAGTGAACAATTAATTATATTATATGACCTCTTTTAAAGTCTAATCTGGATAAATCAATAATAAATAATCACATGTATCGATTATCTAGTTGAAGATGTTTGACAAAACAGCCTTTTTTATTTAAATCTTTTAAAAAATATATGCACCTGAGAGAAAATATCAGTGGAATACATTTAGTATACAAACAAAACAGCTGTCACTGTTCTAATTAACCAGCCATGGTCCTGCATAGTGACATGAAGTGGGTCAGCTGGTCAGTTGGTCTGCTGTTTCAGTCTAAACCACCTGGAGACCAGCCAGGTGGAGTGAGTTAAAGTTATATTCAACTTCCAGATAACATCCCCGACACAATCCTCCGTAACACCATGTCTAAATATAGATCACATCCAGTCAGGACCTCAGGGTGCCCTTGCACATAGGCACCGTTGAGAAGAAGGCCCAGCTATGTTCCTGTTGCGAGTCATGAAGTAAAAGCTTTCAAAGGAGATTCTGCTCATCCTTTAAATTGCTTTTATTTTCTTTACTGTGTTTGTTCATCACTGGGTGGTTTGGCTCATCCCCCAAAAAGGAGAGGTCCAAACTGCAAGGAATCCGCTCTGAAGAAAGGCTCATGAAGACTGGCCCTCACTTTTCCCAGGATTTTTTACAGGTCAAAGGTCAGCGACATTTCTGCATACCCTACTAATCTTGGACGCAAATTGTAGATGTTTCTCAGGTCAGAGCTGCAGAACTCGTTTTGCAAAGAACAGCTGCCACAGAGACAGCTTCTTCCCCCAGGCTTTCACTCTCTGATGAACAGAATGAGCACATTACAGCCTGAGTAGTCAGCTACCTCACTGTGAAACGAAATAAGCTTATTTGTAGATGCCACTCTTTTAACTCTTTTAAGGATGGAAAGGATTACCACTTACTGAAACTTTCCCATAAAATATCAAAGAACACTATCACTTTATCTCTTATTATGCCTTTACTTTTTGGTTTCAAATGTCAGTTTTAATGCTTTTCATATAACAGCCAAATGTTGTTGTTTTTTTTCATTTCTGTTGTATGAATATTTTAATTTTTTTGATGTAACAATTTTTTCCAAACTATTTGGTAGATTTTTAGCATAAAAATTACATAGTTTTTAAATTTAAATCCCTAGTTATCATACCTCTCAGCCTACCTGAGTGAGCATCACAATGTTTAGGTGTTTTATTGGGGGGAGCTGCTGGGGCATAGATTTTGCTGGTTTTTTTAAGGCTTACTTTAAGAGCCCAAAAAAATAAATAAATAAATAAAACATCTGCATCCACTTTATCAGAACGAAATCAAGCCTATTCCCACTGCAGGTGTGTCTCAGACAGGCCTGCACCGTTGCCATGGATCCTTTTAGAGATACTTAATGGACAGGATCTGAAGGCGTAGTAATGGGATAAGAGTTTCTGATTTGTAAACCTCAGAGTTTCTTTAAAAAAAAAACTCAGGGTTTCATAGTTGAATTTTGTCGATGATGTAGTTCTGTGGGATTCATAAAGCCATGACTTTCATTGTGCACTGGTCTGTAGCAGTTTACAAAGACCTCAGTCAAAAAGCCAAGCCCTCCATTTACCAGCCCCTATGTATTCCCATGATATAAGGATTGTCAAGGAAATAAAGGGATCATTAGTATTTGACTAAGAAGAGTTTCATCTGCAAGGGAGTTGGCCTTAGCAACACCAGGATGAGGAGCTCCATCATCTGGGGAAGTAGAGGCACTGTTGTTAAAACTCCCATGTTTTAAGTCAGTGTAACACCACTTTTGTTCATATTTCATCATTTCTTAGAATAAGTATCCTGTCTGATTATCCTGCAGTCAGACAAGGTGTTAAACCCTTTTAAAATAAGTGATTCAACACACCATAGTGTTGAAAGCATCCTTTATTTCAGGCCCAGTAGCACCACTCCTATTAATTTCATTTTTTTCTTGATCAGTGTCTTGTTTACCAACACTTGCTTTGTTTTAAATCTCTAAAACCCATTATGTTGGCAGCCTGCACAGAGAGAGTGAGGAGGAAAAGATAAAAACTGCTAATGGATAAGTGATGAAACCTGGAGTTTGCTCATTGCCTCGAATAAACTGTTGTTCTTTTATTGTATATCTTTTTAAGAGATATACAATCCAAACTAAATACATAAAAAGAACATTCCTTTGTGACAAGCAACCAAACTTTGCATTTATATCTTTATGTATGTTTATGTTTGTTACCTCTCAGAAAACTTGCGTTTATAGTGGCATAAAAACCTAAAGGGTTAATCCTTGCAAAATTCTTACAAACAACCACTGTGGTTTCATTGGATGATCTAGATTCAAGGCTTGAACATCATGCCACTTAGTATTCTTAGTTTCTAAATGCTTATACACTGAAGTCATATGTATTAAACTGTAATAGGCTTTGAGATCAAGCATGTTTTGTCAGATTAAAGATATCATTTAAAAATATTTTATCAGGTTTTTCAGCTATCATTTATCATATTTTACTTAAAACCCAAAATGTCTGTGTTCTTTGTTGTTTTTTTGTTTGTCCTTTACTATGATTGTAATCTTAAATGTAGTGTTTTCATTAACTGTAAGTGGAAAATCATCATAACAAGTAGAATTGAAAACATCAGTCTTAGTATAATTGCTCAACAGTTGTTTGCATGTATGTTAATTGTAATAGTTTTTGTAATGTCTAATAACTTCTGTTGCAACACATTTGTAGATGCAACTTTTTATTGTAGTAGCTTTAACATTCTGTTGAGGCAGACATTGTAAGTAGAGGTAATGTACATGTGTGCAATGTCCTTAGACTGGATTTGCACAACAGTTGCTTGTTTGGTAAGGATTTAGTGATATAAAGAGTCTTCACAAATCTTACACAGCTAATTCTACTGAAAAATACTAGCATACAATACAGTATGACCACATTATGCTTTATCCCTACATCTACTGGAGATGTTCATGCATTAGACACAGCACTTTTGAAATAGTTGAACATGTAGGTGTGAAGTTTGG